ATGATTCGATGTGCGGTAACGAGATGTCTTACGATTTCAAGTGGGCCTCCGAAGTTAACATTCTGATCCAGTCGTTTACTTTTCTGAAAGGTTTACGATGGTGGGTGTACCCAGCTCTCCTGTATAGCATCATGATGGCGGGGATCAGAGTAATGTTTCTGATATTGCATGCATAGGCTCAACAAAGTAAAATCTGATTTCAACTGCAACAAGTGTTGCTTGCTTTTTTTGTAAATATGGACGATTGTGCAATGGACTTGTATTACCGTACAGACTAGTAAGTCCGCTGTTGAAAAGTAACAGCATTTTTGACCTGCGCAAAGTAAGGCATAGCTTTTCCCACCATATTAAAATGTTCAAAAAGGTGGAAACTTGGGACTTCTTATCTGTCCCTTAGTAGTATAATGGTATTCGAAGTCGGAGCAGGTGCCTGTATGTCTTTACAATCCTGTCAAGATAGAACAGATTTTAAATTTCCTTTGGTTGGTATCGGGCCCACGCACACCTTGATTTTCTGAGGATACACCATTGCTAATGGTAATAGAATGTCTTGTATTGAAGTCTTCTCTCAGCTTCTACATGATGACCTGACCAGTGCTTCAATTAACTCTGGTTTAGAAACTTGTAATTTCACCGAAGGTAGTAGCTACAAAACCGAAGAGCACAAAAAAGTAAGATCAGTTGGATGTTGCGCAACGTTTCGGCCCACTAAATTACAGGCAACTGCGCGGCGATCTCATTCAAACCTACAGGATTGTCAGAAGCCGAGAGTGTGCCCTAGATTTTGATGAATTCTTTGAATTGGCCCGGACTGACCGTCTGCGTGGTCATCCGTTCAAACTGCAAAGGAAGCGGGCTAATTCGGACGTCCGACGGAACGCCTTCTCACACAGGGTCATCGGGGCATGGAATGGACTCCCTGATGCCGTCGTTCTTTCCGAAAGTGTTAAATCCTTTAAGTGCAGACTAGACGCTCACTTGTTGAGAACCTACTGTACATACGATCATGATTGTTTTAGCGGCGGCAGTTTGCGCTTGGCTCACACTTACCGCTAACTTCTTAACTTTTCGCATTTGCTGATGTAATTGATGACTTTATTTCTGTTTATCGACATGAATAGGGTGCTCAAGGGCGAAAGCCGCATTCCCTGAATAAACTGACTTAACCTGACTTACCACCTCTTAAAGGCTCCCGTCTGGTTCTCCTAAGCTACGGATTCGGAGTCGAAGTTTCGGATGCCAAACAGTAATACTCACTCAGTCAGGATGCCCTCATGCTAGTTACTATTTTTTCTGGCAGGAGTCCACCATGTTTTGCCGAGAAAGGGTATGACAATAGGATTCGGTCTACATTACATTGCTCCGTTTCCCTCAATCTTACAGACATGCGGAGAAAGTTCAAGAGTTAAGAGCTCTCCTCAACCTGTGTCGACTTATTAGTCCTTATTGTCTGTTGAGAGAGTCCAGTTCAACATCTTCCGAGGCCTCGCCACTTCAAAATTTAGTTCAGTCTGAAGCGATCTCGACTGCGGTCGATTTTTGGAGATACCAGCGTAACAATAGTGTTTGCATTCAAGTCATTATCCTTTCCATCAGTAATCCCAAGTGCACCAATGCAGGTGCTTAATCCAAAGGCACGTTCGGGTGCTGTTCCAGTTATTCCAACATTGAAGAAATTTACTTTTTCTAAGAAAACTTTCCATTCATGCAATCTATCAACAATTTTAAACACCATGCATTTTAGTTACCCCTGAGGACTTATATCGAGGTCGCTAAACTCACTGCGCTAATATTTCCGTCCAGGAATGGCGTTCCCGGTTCAGTTGAGGCGGTGTGCTCTCCGCTTTCCGGCGAATTCCCATCAAAACCACGGTCCCTTTGGAGTCCTCACACAAATGCTCCACCTGGGCTTGTAAACTCTCTAACTCTCAGTGTTACCTCGGACGGAGTACGATGCAAATTACTCTATATGGGTTTCCTGTACAAACTTAGTTCGCTTGAAATAGTGTACAGTTTCTCTAACTACCACAGCATCCCAAAAATCCTCAACTGTTCTACCAGCATCGGGCGTTCCTAATGCCGCAAAACTGGTTTACAGGAACAAAAGGGGTCACCCCACCCCTGTTTTCCGTGGACAAGTTACAACTGGATGACTAAGCTTCTTCCACTCAGACACCCACAATTTGCACCCTGAGGTCATTCGTGCTAAATGCCAGGTCCTTGCTAAATAAAATGTCCTTGCTTCTGACTCTGATGTTAGTTCATCATAAAGGCAATGTTTTGTAGCTGAGACACGAATGATGTCTTCCGTAGATGACTCCGACTTGTCTTTCATAGGCTACGATTACATCCGGAGGGATAGTCATGACAGCCGAGGTGGGGGAACTTGGATTTATGTAAAACGAAAACTTGTATTTCTGACACTGAGTCATCCACATCTTTCCGCGGTTGAAGGCAGCTGCGGACTTCGATTTGCCGTAAAAAAATAAACACTCTCTACCCGTTAGTTGTGTCTGTCGCCTACACAACGTCATTGAGTGCTCTGACCTTTGTCTCACACAGGTATTTCATGCTGCGGCATTTTTTAACTTCGAAGTATGTGATAGTCGAAGTTAACTTCAACCCATTTGAAGTCTCCCCGTGTCCACCACCCGGACCCACAAAGTTAGACACCTCTCCCGAAACTATAGGTCCCGCTGTGTTGAAGCAGCTTGTTGATTTTCCAGCTCGAAGACCAAGCATACTTGCTTATTTTCTGTGAAGGTTTCCTGTCTTTTTCGATGTCATATCTAAGCCCACTTGGGGTTATGACCACAACGACTTTTTTCTTACATTAAAACCCGAAACTTATTACATTTCTTTCAAAATACAGCCTGCTTTCTTCAATCTCCGATCGGTCCGTTAGGAAAAATGACTGACCAACGCCGTTCCCTACAATTGGTCTGGTTTCTTTGTATGTGAATATTTGCTCCGAAGAATGTTACGTAGTTATGAATTTACTTATTTCTATTTAAGTTCGCAGTAAGAAACTAGTTGATGTCATGGATGGAGTTCTCTTTAGTGTTTAGCGGTAGGCTGCGTAGGCTCTCCTGACGCCTCCAACTGCAAAATTGCAGCTCGGTCGTGGCCTTGATCCACCGTATTCTTATGTCGGTTAAAAGGCTGTCGGGGGAAAAAGAGCCAACCAAATAACTCACGCTTGCTGAAAACCACCCACTTAATGCTTAAATGCCCACAATAACGGCTCACGGGAAAGAGCCGCGTGTAATCCATAGACGCCAAGATAACTACCATTAATTTCGATCCCCTGCAAAAAAATTATTGAAAAATCTACCGCACCGTTCCCAAAGTTGATAGATACGTCATTATTCTCATCTGTGTGATGAGGAGGGGAATTCGAACGGTCCGAAATACATATGTTGGAAGCAGGTAACTTAGTACACGGGAAAATGATAAATGAGTGTAACGACAGTAGGGCTAACCAGTCTAAGTGGGAGGTGACGTCAACTCACCTGCCAAACAACGGCTGGGGAATGCAGCGCTGGGGACAACTGCAGGAAGGGCCGCGAAAAATGCCCACATAGAGCGTAGGAGGGTAGAACATTGCGACGAGAGCTGCGGGGAAGTAGTCGGCCGTTATGTGGGGATAGGGTAGCGGATCTTTTCGCCGACACGCTGTTGTATCATGTCTATCTCCAGACTGCGCCGAATATTACCAAATCGAATGTCGAAAACACCAAGGCTATTGGACAACCTTTGCTGAGGCGAGAAAGTTTGCATGCTGCTCAGCAAACAGAGGCAGCAAGTCTCATCAACAGTCGTGTAAACTGTTTAGGTAGCTCGCCTGAACGCAAAGTGTGTTTCTACGCCTGAGCTTTGTAGGACCGCGACAAATCGATAAAGACGAAAATAGTGATCGGCCTCACGGTGTCAGCACGCCAAAGACCAAGTCACACATGCGGACGCAGTGCTTAACATGCTTGCTAGGTCGGCCTAAGGTGGTCTGATAATCAGCTATGCCGACGACCGGCACAGCAGACAACTACGATAGAATTATATAATTACGGGTTTATTCACATTTGTTGTCAGAATTCCCTACAATTTTAGTTGTCTTCCATTTATAAAATATCAAAAGACACAGAGGCCTTTTGCACATGTTTCGCACTCCAATGTCAGAGCCCGTCATCCTGTTCTCCATCAAATATTTACTATTCATAGACGTCAGTTTGATGTCGAAGGTTTTTTATTTTTTGCCGTTTTTAAAAAATACAAAGAGTGTTTTTCATCTTTTCATTCGTTCTTTTTTTGCTCATCTGCCCGGCTTTGGACGACTTCACATCTCCCCGTGTTAACACTTCTGTATTTTCTGGTTGCTTCGTTCTTGTATCTTCAGGTTGGTTCAGTTTATCGTGGGAAATGGGTGTGAGTCTTGGAGGACTTCAGGAGCAACGTAAAGGCGGGTGCAATGCACAGGGAGCCATGCTTGACATTTCGCCAACCTCCATCCTAGTCCCACCATGCATTTATGAACCAGTAACTCTTAGCACACTTAAATGATCCACATACACATGAAAAAACATTCTCTAATTCTGAAATTAATTATATATATATTCAAGTTACCGACACTTCAAGTCTAATTGTGGGCCAAACTTGAAGCACGACTTTGATATCCTGGGCGCTCGGCAATGACGAGAATCTGAGTGGTCAGTATGGGATTCGTCTTATACGACATTGTATTCTGCAGTAGTTCCACGACCATCAAAACGTACCCCGACATATTTTAAAAATTAGTAAATTAAAACGGTTTATAAGACGGTAGGGAAACTGGCGCCCTAATCGGTTTTCGCGCGAATTGGCTCTGGTTTTCGCTGCTAACGTATACACTGCAGCATACTTGTCCTTGTTTCTTCATCCTTTCGCTTTACCACAATCATTCAATATGCAGAGTATTATTAGACGCATCGCTCTTGCTCCGCGGACTTTTCCTGTAAGTCAATTTTATGTCTAAGTCGCCGCAGGTTCAACCAAAGCGCTTTCTGCGAATTCATGAGCACTCTGCGATGACACTTTTGGAGCAGGCCAATATTCCCGTCCCTGCCTTCCGAATGGCTACAAATATGGAAGAGGTTTCCAAAGCGTGTGACGAAATAGGTTTGCATTTCCTATCCAGTCTTATGAGTGTGTACATCCAGACAATGCTTTTGCTCTTTTTTCACTTTGAGCCTCCTTTTCTTTGGAACGTTTTCACACCGGCCTCTGACAAAATCACCCTCGACCAGGACTAGATCCCTCGTTAATCTGCGGCAAATTCTGTAACTGACTGACTTGTCAGTAGTCCCTGCGGGTACAAGCTGCCTAGCGGTTACTCATGCAGGTAGTGTCCGCTCAGCCAGTAGCATCACTAGTCGCACACAAACCCACAAATGTGGGCTGCCAGTACAGGGCTAAACTTAGGCTAGTACACTGTTATCAGGAGCCCACCGTTACATTGACATCTTGCATCCTCTCGTCGGGCGTTCGCAAGATCCCTGTAATCTAGGCTGACCCTTATTGGGAAGCCGTAATTGTGACTATTCCCACGTCTAGGCATTGCGCACATTCCACCTGTAACCCGTATTTACAGAGACGTGAAAGTGCTGGCTTGTTCCCGGTGCATCTGAGCGACAGAGTTCTCCATTTCTTTCCACTGTCGCCAGTTTCCCGAGGCTGCTTCTACGAAATATTGGGGGCCAAACATGACCAAACGAGTGATTTATTCGTTACCGATCTCTTATAATTTCGTTCAACAGCATTTGCATCAGAAAGTCGTTTCAATTTTCATTCAGAGCTGGGGGGGCGGACATAAGTATGCGCTGATTGTGTCCACTATGACTCTTCGTTTCCTGTTTTCTGTGAACGCCTGACAAGAAGTCTCGCACCATTCATTCTTGCTCACTGGTGTCTGTGTGCCAAAAATCTCATTCTGTCGTCAGTAGATCTGGATCCTGTTGTGTAATTCTGGTCTTTCCATGCATCACAAGATCGTACGTGATATGTTGACGCATGTACTGCCTAACGCTAACTGGCCTTCCATTTCAGCCCGCTTATCGAATACCAGTGACCTTGTCGTCAAGGCGCAGGTACTTGCCGGCGGTCGTGGAAAGGGCATATGGGACAGCGGTCTTAAGGGCGGCGTCAAGATAACTTTCAAGTATGTTTTTCGAACTGGATCTGTTTACTGTTTTACGGTATGCAATAGTAGTGTTCTTTTGGACTGACTGTAGGCCTTTTCGAGTTAATTTTTTGCCTTTTAGCTCCAACATTAGCCACGAGTTCTGTGTTATTCTGCGTCACCTTTTATCGCATCAGTTTTCTGCATCAGCGCACCTCTTATTATTTTATTCTATTAAGACTGGCGTATCTTCCTCTACTTTCTTCGTATACTTCTTGGTCAACGGTTGTTAACGTAAACCGTACGAAACCATTATTTGGCATGGTTGTACTACTCACATTGGCTGCGACATCGTAACTCACGACCTTACATGTGACCATTTTTACATGACCACCCCGCCAAGCCACTTGTTTTAGGTTGATAAACCTCATGAATCGTGCGAATTTTACTCAGACACGGTTCCGCAGGCCCTTGTGCGTAGTAGAGGATGATAAGATACGTGGCTTAAGGGTTTTTTGTTAGAAGTTCGCCGCTCCCCCTGCCGGCTAACAGACCACGCGCGCGTGCGGGTTAAGACGGAAAATTGCCGCGCCTGCTTGTCGCTATGTAGGGCCAGTCCACAAGTTTTCATAATTGTTTGGTCTTCGATGCGTAACCTGCGCGTCCTATCTCAATAGTCTCTTAACGGCGCCATGGCCGTGCTAAAACAATAAGCTACATATCCCTCCTATTTTTCATTGGTGGCGCTGCTTGCCTCTCTGTGAGGGAAATAAGAAGCAAGAAACTCGGTTTCTCATAACGCTTCGTAATTTGTCTGCTATGAAACGCCCCTAGAGACTAAATCAACTGATACGATAGTAGAGGCGTCTCTGTGTCCATTGTCAGAAAAAGATAGTGGACTTTTGCATGACAGACGCTGAAACAGCCATATCCCCTAAGCTCCAGGGACACTCGTATACAGAATACAAGAGTGCAGGGCACATGGGTGGTTATTTGGCCTGATTTAGTCAGTAGGTTACTAACCTTTATACTCAGCTCCCCCAGCGTAATCATTGCCCTCATCATACGCATTCTGTGGGGGAAGTTAAGATAACAATTACGGCCAATTCTTCGTGCTATGTAGCTGTACATTGATCCTCATTCGTTGTCAATATTCCCTGCACGTTCTGTTGATTACGTCGTTGACAACAGCTTCATGGCTTTAGGCCTATTGTTTTACTGAGAAACCCACGAGGTAGCTCTCTATTCCTACCATTGCAGCAAGGATGAAGCCACTAACGTCGCCCAGAGAATGCTTGGTCACCACATCTACACCAAACAAACCGGTGAGGCTGGCCAGATGTGTAGTGCTGTTAGCATTGTTGAGCGGAAGTACCTCCGGCGTGAGTTCTACTTCGCCATTGCCCTCGACCGGACGTCCGCCGGCCCCATGATCATCGCTAGCTCCCAGGGTGGTGTTGACATCGAACAGGTGGCTGCCGAATGTCCGGAGGCCATTGTTCGGGTAAGTTGTGTAGAGTCATTTTCTCAGCAAGCAAACAAACTGAGTGAGGTTGAGCAACAGACTGCTTCCAGTGGCACGGACTGCATTTAACCTATTTTTACCCTGAAGGGATCGGATATTGTAGTATTGCTATGCTTATCTTTTGATGTTTTCTTCCTCCTTTTCCCACCTAGTACCCAGTAGACATTATGGAGGGTCTCACTGAGGAGAAAGCATTGGAGTTGGCCGAGCGTTTGGGCTTCTCCAGTGATCAGAATAAGCGCGATGCTGCCGAATACTTCCGGAAGCTTTACGAGCTCTTTGTCACTAAAGATGCCACTCTGATTGAGATAAATCCCATGGCCGAAGACAACAATGGCAAGGGTAATTCCATTAGTGCTTTCTTAATCTGTACACTTGCTACCTGGGCCCTCCCTTTATTCTACCTTATTTCCTTGTATCACGTTCAGAAAGCGGGGTCGGCTCGTGGGACTTACAAGGCAATAGCCCGGACCCCGTCGCTATTTTACGACATTGTGTCCCAAGGCAATGCATGATATGTATTCTATTACATGGCTGTGAACCTAATCGCATTAATAGAGGCGAATTTAATTGTCTGAGCCTAGTATTTACCGTGAGATGGTGCAAGTGAACAATTAATATAACCTTCAAAGCCTGGAGGATGCGTCGATAAGGACTTGTAATATCGCCCCATATGGATTATATCAGCAATGTGAGTGTAAGCATGACATGTCGATTTAGAGGTGTTGAAGGCGAGAGATAGTATTATGCGTTGTCAAAACAGTCCTACATATAGTGAGTGTCAAATTGTTTTCATATTTACCCCGTCTTCCGCGGGGGTTAGATTCTCCAGCCCTCTGTAATCTAGCTTGAATTAGTCCACAGTGACGTACCTACTCTACATCGGGTATACTATCAGTCCTCATTTACTCCGCCCGACCCCACTTTAGCTTCGTCTCACTCATGCTTGGTTCTAACGTCTCGCGATTTCCCGAAACCCAAAAGCAGAAATTCGATTTTCTTTGGCACCAATTCCTCCATGCACCCCATCCCTGTCCCAGGCAAATCTCATCCGTTTTTGAATTTTCGGAAAAAAGACAGTTCAAAAAGCGCGGGCCTCGAGCCACCCCTTTCCAAAAACAGATCGTTATCAGTGATCAGTCTCACTAGGTCCGTCGCTTCACACTGGCCGCTTGTTGTCCCACGATGCCATGGGTAACTGCATGAGTGGTAATCGGAGGTGGTGACATCAAGCTACAACAGCGAAGCGGAGCAGAACGACATACTCTTCCGCCAAGGTGAAAAACTCGTGGAAGTATTACAGCGTGGGTTGTGGGGAAGAAGTCACATGTTGCTAGCTTCGCCAGCAAAACACCGTATTGTTGAGACTAGGTGGGCTTAATTTAACCAACAGTCACGTAGAAATAAACAAATACGTGGCCTTTCATTACTTTAACTGGGAGACGGAAGAGCTCTGGGCTCATGGTATTTCGGAAGCGAGTCGGCAAGTACAGCCCCTCTAGTATTGGCTACCCATGTTTATGTGACTCCTTGCCAGAACTGTCAATCAGAGCCCACAGACAAAACAAAACACCCGTCCTTCATCCTGCTGTCGAATTATCTCGGTAGATATCACTCCCGCTGAGTTTTATATCCCTAGGTTAGACGGTTTCAACCGCGTGTCTTCCCAGTCTGGTGCTGGGGCACACGACTGACTGACATCCGGCAAACAAGTCGGGAGTAGCTATCCTAGTTCCCCTCTTGTCGATCTTACTTCTAGGGCAAGTTCGCCTCTACGCGACTGCGGGCCATGCCGTCCGAAAATTAGGTGAGATGGGTGAACGCTGCTCTCACACGACCGTGTCATTGACAACGAGCAGTTGTGCTGCCAAATGAGGACGTAGCCTAGTATGTTCGCACTTGTGGTAGGTATCGAAACTTGCGGGACACTGGCCAACATTTTTCAATTAGCCTTCGATTAAAGAAAGGTTGCTAAGGTTCTGCCGTCGTTTCCGACGATGTCTACTGTGTGCCCCAAAGCAGGGCGGCCGCAGGGACGGTGAATTACGCGCAAATTAGTTTAGGGCGATAGAGTAGACTTTCGCAGCATCTACCGCACACTTTCAGCCCTCACCCACCTATGATGCACTACCATATTCTCCCCCCCCCTCAGCCTCCTAGGTCCGGTGTCAAGACAGAGTCAATAAAACTGGAGGCGGGATCGGGCGTAGGTGGCTGGCACGGCCTATACCCGAGCCTGGCGTGCCACCACACCCTGGACCGCGCTCAGTGGACCACAATTTCACATCACAAGGGGGCGACTCGGATCCCGCTGGGTCGCAGTGCCATAGAGAAGCCATTGCAGCCTGACTCCCTCCGCCAGTCGGCCACTTTACGCAAACACATACTGGGCTGACTGCAAGATCCGAGTTATCTTGTCAGTTGATAACCTTTCAAGCCACGATTTTTAATGTGCTGCGATAAATTTAAACGCGTCAGATTGTTTATAGTGCGGAGTGTGCGCCGAGGCCGTCGACCTCACTCCCTCGTCCCTCACCTGCACACCACTCGACAGTCCGAGCGGGCGGTGTGGCTGACAGAGTTTAACAGTCCTGCGCACGCCACACACCCGACCTGACCCCCAGCCAATCATAATTGTTGTACACAGTGACCGAAGGCAACTATCAGGCGCCATGCGATGAGGTAGAAAGACTCCCTGCCACAGTGTAGTTGCGGACAAACCAACTACGTTGGAAGACGCTGATGGCTGAACACGCACCAACAGCAAGGAGGGCTGACAACAACTTTCAAGCCCCATCTCAATCCCCCAAGCTAAGTCATACCTGCAACTTTTTATGAGGCGGACATCCGAGAGGAACCACCCATGTGAGTCACGAACTGTTTACGTCATGGTCCTCCGACACGCAGTCTCAACAAATACGTCAAAGCTGCCGGTGCCGGGTACCCATCACACACGCAGCGCGCCCAAGTGAGCATTGCTTCCAATGGCCGCACCGGGGAGCCAAACTGCCGGGTGATTATCAAGAAGGTCATCAACATCGGTGATGAAACCGCGGATGCGGAAGACCAATCAATTGCCACCACGAGTACGAACATAGATGATGTGGGCAAAAGGTGTTAGTTGATGTCTGACAACTGCGCCCTCTGTGCATGCGCCACCTCTGCCAGTTGTTGTCTCTGATGAGGGGTTCAGAAGTAAATCCGGAGCGTTGAACGAATGATTTTTTTGTTCTAACAGTTGACTTTCCTCTGAATCAGTTCCTTATTAAAGGACTGCCAAGGCGTAACTAGCGATATCACGATGTGACAACCGTTGCCCGCGATCCATTAAGGTTTCGCCTCCCACCGCCCAAGACAATCATGCAGTCTTACACCGGTGTGCGGGGGAAAAGGGGGGTGGTTGTGTTTACCTTCGAATTTTGGGGATACAGGAAGTCGTCCCTCCACTAAGCCACACCACGCAACCGCTGCCCGGCGGGTCACGGCTCAATCGATTTTTTGAGCGACTAGGGAGTTTCGGCCTACTCTCACTCAAAATGGGCTTGTGGTGAGCCAATTGCGTAGAGCAGAACAGTCCCATGTCCAACAAACAGAATCGATCTAAACCCACGTTTAGACACGCGCTTGTGGAAAGTGTTTTCAACCCCTCCTAATGTCCTACTGACAGTCCTGCTGTGAACCTGCGCGTTCTAGCATCGTCTTTGCCCTAGTTCGAGTATTCAAGGCGTGCATATTCAGGAGACCCGCGTTTCTTTTATTACCAGCCCGATAGTGCATGCTTGCCGTTGGGCTTCTTGGGACTAAAGCCCCACAGCGATGGCCCCTCACCTTCAGTCCATTACGCCATCTGTCTCCAACTGTAGGTTAAGTTTTTGGCCCTCTGATCGAAATAATCTTTATTGTTGCTGGCCTCTTTTAGTCCTTTGCATGGACTGCAAGATGACCTTTGATGACAATGCCGAATCCAGGCAACCGGACATCTTCAAGCTCCGCGACTGGTCTCAGATGGATGAGCGTGATGTACAGGCGGCCGGTGCTCAACTCAACTACATCGGCCTTGACGGCAGCATTGGCTGCCTGGGTAAGTACCGACCTACGCCACATCTGTCTTCATTTGTGTTCTTATGGCTTCACATTCACCACCATGTGACGCTTGGTTCACAGGTGATCGGATATTACATGCATTCTTTTCGTGGTGCCTTAATGTTCAGCGGCCGTTGTTGGACCGGAAACTACCACTGTAGGCTGCTGAAGTCATGACAAGCAACGACCCGTCGGTGAGCGGTGGTTGGGAGTAGTTTCCGTGGGCCCCCGCATAGCAGTCACAATGTACGATGCCTCATCTGTTGTACGCAGTATTAAGGCTATGAACACCCAGGAGTAGTCAAACTGGTAGTTGAAATCTTTGTGGACTGAGCGGTCTTTGAGAAGCTCCTCCTGACCTTCGACGGCTATTGCGCGTTGCTATGCGTCTGCGCGGATGCTTATAGGGAAGTAGCTACTCTCACTTTTTCACCAAAGGGACTCACCTTCTTTGATCCCCATAGCACCGCCATCACCACCGTCGGGATTTGCTTTATTCCCGCTTTGTTTGGCTGTTCACGGGATGTTTTGTCAACGTAGCAGGGACTTTTCACTCCTTAGAAAATGACTTTCAGGCTCCCTCCTGGCCAGACGGGCCGCTTTCTCTGGGCGTCCAGGGGCCGTCTGCTTCCACTGGTGTACAATGCAAGACCTCTTGAAGTGATTATATTTATTCGCCGGCCTGTCAGTCGATCGTAAGATCTGTCGGACCTAACTGCGACTTGTGTTCTGTCTTGCTGTGTATCTGCTGTGTGCTAGAAGCGACTTTGAATCATCTGCCAGTAAGAGTGCAACGCATGTCAGGCGTTCTATGTGGTTGCCGTCACGTGTCTAGGCGTTAAGCAGCTCGCTACTCACTTTATGGATTGCCTTTGTGGTCCAGGCAACAATTTCAAACACCGGTTGGCCTCTCCATACCACCAGCTTATGCTTGTGAGATCAGCCTTGTTGCGCTCAAACCTTTATCACGGTATGAGATTTCTCAAACGTCACCAGCTTGCTCACTTGCAGTCATCAGGGTTTTGGGGCGCGTTGCAGTTTCTGATGTGAAACCCTACCTAATACGCTGGTGGTGGTCTTCTGCACTGGTCTGTCGATCGATCCCCTTAGGCAGACAGCCAGACGTTGAGTCTGCATTTCCTGTCCTCCCTTTCACCAGTCCTAACGATCCGGCTCAGCTTCAGTTTTTGGAAGTTATCCGTAGGATATAGCGTCACTCGGTCCAGTCTTCCGATGAACATATCATGTGGCCGTCATGACAGCGTCTGGAGAAGTAAATGGTTTTATTGACATTTCAGGGCACGGATTGTAATACTGCTATAGCTTGTAACCTTCGGCCTTTACCAACTTGCCGTGGCGGCAGCGCTTCCATCATTTTTAACACTGCATATATTGGAACAGATCACCTTTTTGGAGTCCACTTGGACCTTATTTTTGTTTTCCGTTGGTCCCTTCGATTTCGCCTCCACCGGTCCGGTAATTGAGAGTCCAGGTCGCGATTGCAGTGATTTCACGCAGTTTTCGTTGTGAGATGCGCACCCGAATCGCCTAAATCACCCATCTCGATTGACTTGAAAAACTTCCTACAGATCATCCCATTCATCCATGTAAAACGATGCTGTTCAAGCGCATCCGTCTTCCCCTTATTTTGAACCCTCATTACCCATGGTTGGCAGCCGTGTAGAATGATACTAGATATCTAGTCATTGAATGGGCCAGTGACTGCGTGAACACCGTCGTGTGTGCCGGTATTTGCTCGTGGCACTTGTTAGACCGGGACTTCGCGCCACTTTAGCGACTACGCAAAAGAGAGAGGGCGAGATAGAGACAAATCCAGACCATATTTTCCCCGCAACAAGCAACTTATGCACTTTTAGGTTACCACGACACGTAGAGGGTTGCCAACCAGCGAACTAACGCGGTCTTGCCCAGAGTTAGATTTCAATGGCGTCCCTACGTATGATTCTAAACCCCTCTTCGTTTTAGGCGTAATCCGTGTAGAGTTTCTGACCAGCGCGCATATGTGGTACATGTTGCGTGGCTTCAACCACGGCGCCCGCATCCATCCCAAATATCCTTTACTCCGTCTTCCTATCCGAACATCGCTGATGTGTGTCAAGATATCTAGGTGGATGCTTCGTAAGTCCGTCTCACGCACAGGTCTCTGCTGTGAACCTCCTTCGGAAAAGTGGTTGCCCTCGTTTACGACGTAGAGGCTTATGCGAATTCCAAGGCGCTTTCTGATCGATCTGAGATCGAGTCTCTTGGTAACGACCGTTTCCGCGAAGGCAGTAATCAACTGCGGAAGTGCTGAAATATAATGTCCATGTGGTTCACTAGGAACTCGGCATTGACGGATAAGCTACCAACGCTGAGGTGTTCAATAAGCGATGCCGCGGAGGTACAGGGAGCTTTGGTTCGACCTTTCCTCCAATCTGGCCACGTTCTGCATGTCACAACAGGATGATCTACTGACGATTTTGCTTGCTTGGTGGCCAAAGGAGTAGTAGGCTCGAAATCCGCGAACCACGGACAGGTAGGCGGAAGGGATTACCCACGCGAGGTTATAGTACTAGAGGAGAGCGCGAAACTCAGTACAAAGTTAACTCATGCGCTTCTCCGGGGATGTAGGAACACTGCTTACAACATCTGTACTGTGGATCCAGATCGCCAACACTGAGAGCCTTATTCATGTGTGGCGTGTAGTTTGGAGACCTTTAGAACAGGTAGGAGTGCGGACTGCGCTCTAAAGTATGCAGCAATTGGTGAAGTTGTTTCGGATCGAAACATTCCCCCCCCCCTTCACGGGCAAAGTATCTGAGTGAGGAGATTGTGCGGCAGATGCTGCACAAGTCTGCCCCAGTATAAACCAATTTACACGCTAGTTACAGCTGTTGCCACCACTCTGTGGGACATCCTGTGGACGTTGTCGCATGAGACTGTCGAACTATTATGTCAAATCGCAACCCTCTGCACCCCGGTAACTGTGGCGTACATATGGGGCCTTCGGGAAGACTGATGTTTTTGTCGATGGTGTCTCCAAAGGGGACATCGTTTTGTGTGCCTGAGAGACCAATAAGTCATTGACGTACCGCGCGAAACCATCGGAAGTTCGCGTCATGCACTAGATTTTTCATGAGTGGTGGACATAGGCAATTCTAACACCTGACCATCTTGCTCGTGTTCTTCCGTAGCGGCTGTATTTTCAACCTAGCTACAGGACATCCCCCATATGTATCTCTCAGCAACAGGGCCTTACTTATGTGTGGTTTGTTTTTCGCTCCAACATGCGAACATATCATCCTTCGGTCCTCGACATTACGTAAAAGGGTGTCCCCCGTTTGCACCCATCTGCCCGTGCCCGTGGCTCCGTGTTTGATGGACACTCCATGTAATTGGCGTTTATACTTGCCAGCGTTCGGACACTGTAGCACCCGCGGGTTCGCGTTCTCCTTCCTTCTCAGCATTCATGCCCGATGTGTTCACTCGCGCCTACCCTTATGTTCGGTCCGGGTATATTTCGTACAGCGTCCAGTTTAACACCCCGCCTGTTGTTTTGAAGTCGTCTACTGGTTTCTCCAATGTAGTTCGTTCCACAGGAACTGCACCGGACACGATAGGCGACGTGCACCGCTTCAACACGTGGCTGAAGAACCTCAGATCTCATCGACAGACGTCGCTTTATTGCCTCGGGTCTGTGGACGATGCCTATTCTCAGTGGTTGTAAGTGACAGGTGATTGTGTCGTTTGCGTTCTCAATGTGTGCCAGTGCCTTCCAGGCCTTCAACTTTTCCACTGTTAACCTTATGTTTAACATTGGCTGTCTGCCTCAGTCTATAAAACTGCGGAGGTAATGGAGTTCGACTGCCTTCTCATCTGCCTCACTGCAATGCGTGTCCACCTTTTTGTTGGGGGTTTGTGCAGAATTGCGCCTGTAGAATGGCGGGTTGTTGTTGTGGCAACTTCGTACCTGCCGCGTGTTGGTGGTCTTCCTGTACACCATCGTCTCCAGGTCTCCGCCGATCTTTCTGTGACCCGGGATGTCCTGGAATAATTGCTTTATGTTGCCATCCATCTCAGTTTCGAACTAGGTACCAGGGAGCATGAGATTAAAGAACACACGGAATTCCGAGACCATTACGCACTCGAGGATGACGAAGGTATCGTCCACATACTTTTCTGGAGTATTGGTTTAGGAGTTGCAAACACCAGTGCCACTGGGTTTCAGAGGACGACTCGAATGATGAAACCATGACGGTGGCGCTCCCACTGGAGCGCATTTTACTTGATCATATGGTCCAAAGGTGAAGTACGTCTTGTGGCAGAGCTGGAATATCTGGCTGAAGTGTCCCCACTTTATCATCCAACACTGGCTCCTGAGTAGATCACAGACAATTTCAATCACCATCCTTGGGGATCCAGGCGAGGATCGAGGTCACATCAAATGGCACCATAACCCTTCCCTGCGTTGAGGTGTAGTCTACCGTACAAGAGGTCTGAGGCTGCCTGCTGTCCTGTGCTGTATCTGTCCAGCCTAGCTTAATATACCCACATGAAGTTACGATCAAACATCTTGCCATTCTAACTGTCTTTCGCTGCTACGGAGCTGACAGCGTTTTTCCCGCCAACCTCATGACCTGGAGTTTCTCCTTGCAGTGAACGGTGCCGGTTTGGCGATGGCCACGATGGACATTATCAAACTGCACGGCGGCAGTCCGGCAAACTTCCTGGATGTCGGTGGAGGTGCCACCGCGAACCAGGTCACAGAGGCCTTCCGTCTTATCACCTCCGACCCGAAGGTCCACGCCATCCTTGTTAACATCTTTGGTGGCATCATGCGTTGCGACGTCATTGCCCAGGGCATCGTCGCGGCCGCCTCCGAGCTTAACATCAAGGTTCCCATTGTCGTCCGCCTGCAAGGTGAGTTTCTGCAGTTCTTTGTCAGACCTCACCTGCCATTTTTTCCCTTACGCTTTTTGCGGCCGTTACCGTCGCTGATTTCGCAAATGCTAGGCACCGCTGAAATACACACGAATCCGCCTACTACTGCTATAATTGGTGTTTGGGCTTTGTGCTCGGGCGACCACCTACGGATACCTATTTCTGTAAGGAAAAGTGGTCGATCCACACTCCGATAAAGACTGTGGAGGGGAGGCGCTGGCGAACTTGGGTTCTATGGTGGTGCTTACCCATTAGCTAGATCTCATCGACCCTGTTTGCTTCCTCGCCTTGTGATTTAGTAGGTGGCCGCTTGTTCGTGCTACCTGTCACTGCATTTGGATCTGTGTCGTAATGTGTCATTAGCAGACGCTCGTGCCCACATCCGCGTCTATTTAAGCAGTGTTCAACAATCACGATTCTCGTCGCAAGGCCCTTCCCATGAGCACTCAGCGAATCCCCGGGGCTGTTTAATGGGCAGGGAAAGTGCGAAATTTCTTTAGAATGACATTCGACGACCTGGTCTGGTTGTAGAACAAAATACAAACACAATACTGTGCAGAAGACGAAGATGCGATCACTGGAACAAGAAATTTATTGCCCTGACGTTTCGGATTCTCACTCGAATCCATCATCAGAGACATTCAGGGACCCTTATCTGCGAATTGTACTTACTTACTACTCAAGCACAATTCTGCGAATGTCTCTGATGATGGATTCGAGTGAGAATCCGAAACGTCAGCCCAATAAAATTTCTTGTTCCAGTGATTGCATCTTCGTCTTCTGACAATAGGCAAAGTGCTGTCCCAGGGAAAATAACTTGAGCCGGATTAAATCTCAGTACCCTCGCCGAAATATCAATATTGGAAAAGCGTCCCCGGTGGACCAGTTCTGTTTGCAAATTACAAATACTGTGTGATACAGATTGAAAATCCATGATCTAAGACGGGTTTGTGGGGGGGGGTTGTTCAAATTTCTGTGGGCAAGCGGAAGAAAGGCACATTTTCCAGGGGTGCTGTGTGAAATATTATCGATGAGGCGGGAGGCAGGTAAGTTGAGCATTCGCACACGTGTAAAGGCCTCTCAGTACAAGAAGAGCAAGTGCGGTTGCACTTATCATACCTTTCTAGTTAATGACTGACTGCAACCATAGTGCAGCAGTTTTTTAAGTGTAAATTGGTCTGCAAGTTGTATTCCAGTTACCTGGTACTTTGGCTGCCTTACCTAACTTTAGTTTAACCGTAATCCAATGCAACACTAACTACAGATGATTATATGCCATCAGGAGTACGTCTTAACCGAAAACTGAATCAGACTACTCGGGTCTCGGCTCCAATGAGAAGAACCTCAAGCTAACACTTGACTCTGTGCATCTGGTTATTCTTGATGCAGGAGGAGGCGGACTCAGTAATCATCTGATCTCAAGCGCCAGTCTGTGCTTGTAACTTCAAAGAATTGCTCCTCTGTTCGTGTGAAATCCGAGTTTGTAAGGGTCAAAACCACTGAGCCCGAGGCGATTATCTGCAGTAAAAAGACCTAGCTGCCAGCATTCTGGTCAGTAGGTAGGCAACAGCCACCTGGAGTGGATTCATTTTTAAAGGTTTCCTCGTGGCGATCGACTGCAGACATGGTCCAGAACAGAACGGAACCCCGAGGCAAGCAGACACGCCCATGCTAGAATGAACCGGTAAAGGCCACACCCATGTGTTAGGCGAACTGTATCCGCTATGCGGGCTGACAAATGCCAACACCCTACGGCACGCGCGGTGGCCCACCGCCACGTAGTCAGTGTCCAAACTCGAGGCTAAACTAATCTCTTCTCCAAGAAAAACATGCTCGGATGCGCAAACTAGGTCTAGGACAGCCATTAACGTAGGGTAATGTAGGTTTCCGCCCAAGTTTACACTTATTATGTCTGACAACATTCCCTAAGCACACATTATACACGCAAAAATGACATTTTCCGGAAGAGGCTGGGCAAATGAGCAAAATGTGTAACTTTTTAGGCGCGTAAAACCGTCATATCAATTCCCACCATCATGTTTCATGACTTAGGTCACGTACTCTATCTTTTCTTTGTCCCCTACAACGGGCCACACAGGAGTCAGGTCAGGGTGCGATACGCGTTATCTGGGCTGTGCACCTATAACAAATGCCACACATGGGGTGTGTCGGCACGCCTAGGCGCCGGCTTGTGCCCCACCAGCCACCTGCGCCCAATCACAGCACCAGAGGTCTGTCCGGCTCGAACAGTGGATTGCTGCCTGAGACCGCCTCTGGGGATTCCGTCCTCACGACACTTCAGCGCATATTCCTCACTGCAAATAATCTGACGCGCTTTTAAGCCATCACGGTGCGCTAAAAGCAGTGGCTGGGAAGGCTACCAACTGACGGGATGACTCGGTCCTCCTCAGGACGGGGCTCCTTTTTAATGTGGCCTCTAAGGCATTGCTACTACTCAGTTGGGATACGAGCCACCCCTCCCCCCGCCTCTTCTTTCTGCTAAAGCCTGCCCCATCGCGCACGTGGCACGCGTAGATGGGTTGTTTGGTTCTTTCAGTCACTGCACCTAATCCCGTCTCCAGTTCTCCTGACTGTCTTGACACCGGGCTAAAGTGAGTGGGACGGATCCTGCTCAAGTCTGCTACCACTTCAGACTGAGTCACATGCAAGTCATCGTCCCTGCGCCCACCATGCTGTGAGGCACACGAAAGAAATTGTCGTCTGCAACGGTCAAACTGTCGCATCTTCTCTTTGCCTACATACTCAGTGATTTTGACCAATGCTTTAGTGCGTACTTCTCAATGCGTAGCCGCTCTTGGTTTTCTCGACATGGCAGACGAGTCTGTGTGCTGCAGCTACCATCGTGTAAAAGAAGCCTCAAGGGGAATCTAAATTGTCTGTCATGACTATTTTTCCCTCCACTAATTCACGCGTTGTTCCGCGAACTATAACTACTGCTCTCTCTCTTCTCACCGCCCTGAGAAACGAGTTTTCGTCACACACACCTAAACCACAGTCCGCGTGGTTCGGTTCTGCTTTAAGGTGGGACCGATGGGCGGCGAGGACTGACGTTCTACTTTGCTACCTAAATTCAAACAGAGTCAACAGCCTTTACCGACACCTTTAAACAGTTTTCTCGTCCCCCGACATAAATCATATTTTCGTCTGTCTGCAGGGACCCGCGTTGACGATGCCAAAGCCATAATTGGAAGCAGCGAGTTGAAGATCCTAGCCTGTGATAGCCTGGATGAGGCCGCGCAAATGGTAAGTCCCTCTTCCATTCCCACTACCTCATTTGTTTCTCCCGATTTCCTGCAAAGTTAAAGTGGAGGTTTTGGGTTGTGCAGTCTCGCCGCCTCCCACCGTTAGCCCTGACGCCGACTGTCCGGCACGTATTCGTGATTAGCGGAACGATGTTCACCAGAGGCCAGCGTCGAAGTAAGCAGACTCGGATCTAACAAGCGATCAGTCGTGGGTCAATAGCGATGACGTAACCAGGACGCGGAGGACTGAGGTCTGACACACTGACTGTCATATAACACGGCGCAAAGGCGCGCCTTGACCTGGCGACCGTGACTCACCATCAAATAAGTTTGCTTGCCTCTGCTGTCTTGCAGTCAGGTTCTTGAACCAACGCCCTGAAGCAGACATCTTCGAACAGGCAATTGGGGCTGCCGTTGGAGACCCACCAATATTCTCAATTCACAAGAAACCTCCCGAAACATGTCTGATTTAGGTATTGCAATTCATGCTACGATGTTCGCGGGAACCGAAGTGTCTGGCGATTCTTGTCCAGTGGTCAGAGGGCTTAGTATACGAGATAGGCTCCTTAATCGGTAGCAGGTCCTCGATACTGGATGCTGGGCTGTGTGCAACCTTACTACTGAGTTTACGATGGCATGCAGTCATTATCAGTACAACAAGGATGTCTTTCGTCTGTCCGAAACCTGAATCCTCGACTACAGCGCTCGGAAAAAAAGATCCCGGAGGCCAAATCCCACTTTACCCCGTACGACTCTTCTAGTAGACACTTTGTGACGATCACTTGGGAACTCGTAGATGATTGACTGGCTTACGTAAGACAGGAGGGTTTCTTTACGAACATCTCTGTAGTTCCAGTGTACGCATCAGCATCGGCGGCCGACCATCGCTGCAAAGAAACCTACTCACAGCTACCAGAATTGGTTGGAAAACTTCCTGCCGGAGGGCTACAATGAGCGGACTGGGCAAGGCAGACCTTCAATCAGCTGCGTATTGGCCGCTCTGAGCTTAGTTCTCAATACGGCGGTGGGGAATGAATGCTAAGCTTTGCTGATCAGAACCGGCCAGTCGTCACTAACGCGTATTTCCAACTTAGCCGGCCAACACCTGTTGACCTGCTATTCAAACATGCATTCGTACGACCGACCAACCGGACTGCACTCTGGTCAGTTTAGGGTTCTGATGCGCCAGCGGCGCCAACAGACAACTCTAGCTAGGTCCCGCAACGATTTTAGTGGCGGGTGAGGCCATATTCCGTGGTGGGCAATATTCTCCATGCCGTAATTTCATTATGGCTTGTCACCTTTTCACAGGTGACTGATTTGTCCGATTGGTGCCTAGCAACGCTGTGCATTCACAGTGGTCAGATCTGATAGGTTGTTTAATTCGCTACTAGCTCTCCTTAAAAATCGTTTAGCTCCCCCCCCCTCCCCCATCCGCGGATACGCTGGGTAATCAGTAGTCAGGACAATGTCTTCCACTGGGTTCCTATTGATGCCGTTTCCAAGCTACGATGCGGAATGTCACCATCTTCTCCAGCCATTCTGTATACTTCAATAACCGCACATGCTGCTGAAGCGGGATTATTGCCAACCGGTGATAGTATTTGTTCAGGTGCCCATAGCCACAGGCGCCTAAAACGGGCCACTCGGTAGATGCGCTGGTCCAATACGGAGGCTAGATTTGAATTCGGCAGGGGTGTGATGGCACGTCCGGTTGCAGGCACACGCCGTGTTAATTTTGAGCAGGGTCGCTCCGCCCTTTTTCTTGGTGTATAAAATCCTGGTTGTTGTATGTTGTGGATCAGGAGGTGTGGTGGTACGCCTAGGTGCGGGCTTTCGCCGCGTCAGCCACCTGCGTCCTCTCTCGCCTCTGGTCTTCTTGACGCTGTCTTGACACCAGACCCACGCAGGAGAGGTGGAGATAGTGTGGTTGATGCTGCGCAAGTCCACTGTCGCTATAACTCACGCGCAGGTCACCGTGCCTGCTCTCAACCTGCTATAGAGCATGCGACGGTCGAACTGTCGGCACCACACACACACACACACTCCTCGGGCGCTGGGAGACTATCATTTTAACCTATACAGACCCAGCGGCTTGGGCAGGCGCGTCACATTTTCTAATTTTCCCCGGTCGCGACTCCTGCTCAAACTCCCTTCACCTCCCTTAAAATATCCTTTTTTCACGTTGTAGGTTGTTAAACTGGCCGACATTGTATCGTTGGCACGGCAGGCTGCCGTTGATGTGAAGTTTGAGCTGCCTCTGTAGAAGGCGGCAGTCGTGTTAACTCCCTGCCTCGCGCCGTCATCACTGGACAGGCCTGCTCCCTGCGCGCCACTATAGCCAAAGCAGTCCCCTCCCCCTCTACAACCACCCGCCGCCACATCCCAGTTGTGTTTGTTGTCTGGTTGTACACCCCCTGATTTCTAGGGCGTTTTTATTCTTTAGCCATATGGTCTTTTTCCTCACCCGCTGCCTGTAACTACAACTGACACAGAACCCCATCTGTCGTTACCTGTCACTGTTAACGCCGACCCCACCAATTTTACAGTCCACTCGGAGATCCCTTACCCGTTTTGCTTATCTGCTTGTAACTAACAGCCCCCCCCCGCCTCCCTGCGCTAGTAATATGCAGTCCTTTTTTTTCATGTTCACGTTGGTTGCTCGCTTGGCGAAATAAAAATGCCGCTCTTACTCGATTCCGTGATGCTGTTTGTGTTTCTGCGTTCGCTCACTGAGTTTGTGCGGGTTTGACTGACAGACAAAATCAGCGGGTGTGTTCCTGGGGTCCGTCAAACCTCCTTCATTGGCTACCCTGGGGACGGCAGGAGCCGAGTCCCGTTGCGTTGTAGAGCAGGCAAGACACTGGTGCGATGGATCTGCCTGCGAATATCGACCGTACCACAGCCAAAAGCAGTGTGCGTCCACTTTGTGTCAACGCCTTTCGGGCTCAAGGTCAGAGTCAGAACATACGCCGTTAGTCCCGTTCGTCACTTTGGGCTCCAGGGTGAGGTTCAGGTTGATTGAACCGGTCGTTTATTCGGACAGATGCCGGGGGACGTAGTTCGTGTATATACCCCAAAGTCCGCTTAGTAGGCCACGATTCCGCTGAGTCTCAGTGATTGCCACGAGTCTGGGGTGGTTGCCTGCATTCCGCACAGAAAATTTGACTGTCAGGAAGCTTGCTGTGGAGTGCGTTGGCCCGGATGGCCTACGCGTGCGTCAAGGTCACGCCGATCCGTCGGTGGGTGAGAGCACGTGGCGTATCGTGCGGATGTGGTGGCGGCCCTTCGAGTAGGAGGGGAAGAGCGAGGGCGGCATCGAAACAGTGCTCCACGTGGCGCCACACACGGAGTCGCGGGTCAATAATTTGCTCTTCGCTGATTGGGTGTGGTCTCAGCTGCGCCTCTAACCTGCATGCAACCAAGATGCCAGGGCATGTTTTGTCCTTAGCTGGTGTTGTACTATTGAAGCAGATAAAAAAGCAACAACCAAGCACTAGCCACCGTCAGTTGGTGGAGATAGCGGGAGAAGTCTATAAACCGCACCTGGGGTATGGCCCTAAGGGCGGGTGACCCGCCAAAAGCACCAATAAGAAGCCCGACCTTGAGGAGTTCTCCGGCCAGTGGTGAGTTTGGTAAATCATGGCCTTGAGGTCATTTAACATAACCTGTTATCTTCTGTGCCCAAATAAGTTTATGAAGGAGTTACTAGTTTGCAGTCAAAACAGCGCTGCGGCGAGTTGGCAAGATCTCACGAGCGAGGTGTTAGGGTGGCCATGAACGGGGCGCAACATTCTTGGCGTGCGCGACAGGGAACCGCCAAGGCGCGGGTAAGTCCCGCCTACCGAGTCGCTGCGTAGTTCAACGATTGGCGCGCCGCCGGATTACGCGCCACCTTCAGGGGCCGGCAACGCGTAAGGATCTGCCGATTCAAGCGCTCAGAGCTCAGCCAATGGGAACGCGAGAACAGGCAAGGCCATAACCCGTAAATAAGACATCACGGACAGAAGGATTTTGAGTTGGTGCGCACGCGATGTTTGTCGCGGCAGAGGCGTTCTCTGTCTGCTGTTCCACGCACTTACTGGTGTCCTATTAGTTGGGGATGGATGTAAGGCAAAATAACTCAAGACTGCCCTGTCGGAACTTGGAGAGACAACCCATCCCAAAGCTGTCGGTTTGCTCACTGAGCCGCGAAACCTACCCTTCTACCCATGAGCATGGCGCATAGTCGCAAAACAACAAGGAAAACTGGCGGATGCTTAGTCGCATGCCCACGGACCCAATACCCTCCTCGCCCACCCCCGATGAAACCCATCTGTACGCCCACGCACGTTGTTTTGAAGACGCCCGTTCCTTGATTCCTGTTCATTCAGAAATGAATGCGCTGACTTGGGGTAAGCTCTTCGTATTGAAACTGTGGGCACCTTCTGAAAGCTGGCATGGACATTTATACCGGAACTCACAGGTGGGATAAGTGTTGTGCCTTTTGGCCCAATTTAGAACCCACAGAGGCCGCATAATGACAGGTAATTTTGCAGAATGAACGAGCACTTCTCATAACCTGGTCGGTGAATGTCCCCTCCCAGCACTGTTAAAACTCCCGATCGCAGAACGGCATTGCCAACAAAGACAAGGGAGACTTTGTCGGTAATGCTGTTCTGCCTATATCATGCGGCGCTGTGCGGCTGCTGGTTGGACTCGAGAGAGAATCCTGAGGCACAACGGGGCGTGTAAGTTCCGTAACAGGATCGGCGGGTGCCCCTCTACCACGCCCGGTCGCAAGCGACAGGACAAAGGGGCCGGGTCTCAGGAGTAAAGAGTTATTCATATTGACCCAACTGTAAGAAACTCGGCGCCACGGTGAGATTCGAACCCCCGCAGTAAGGGAAGGCTTTAGCGCAGCCAACGCTCTAATCACCTGAGCTACGAGGCCCCGCCGGACGACGCGAGTTTAATCACATTTGGGTCAGTTTACCCGCTAAGCCTACTACAACGTCTGGAATCCACCAAATCTGATACAGTAAGTTGACTGCCCAAGCAGGATTTCCTAAGCAATTCACCTAGAATCCACCAGATGACTACTAGGCTCGCGTAATTCATTGGAATTTGGCGTGGTAGTCATCTGGCGGATTCTAGGCTGTACTAAAGCCTTCCACTTACTGCGTGAGTTCGAATTCCACTGGGACGCCCAGTTTTTCACAGTTGAGTCAATATGAATTATTCAAAATATGCCAAAACATCTATGAGTAAAGATTTAAACTTCTCAGCGCTTAGTAACTAACGCATCCGAGCCCAAATCCCAGGTCATGCGACCTTGTGACGGGCTGGCGACGACGACGGTTAATAAGCCAGAAATGGCCACCTCTGTCTCCCCCCCACCCCTGTCTTTGTCGTTATTGAAACACTGTTTTCCCGGAATGAGTTTGAACAAGGCAAGGACGACGAAACATGGAGAACTAAACGACATCATAAATCTTCTGGATCACTTATTCAACGGCGTACGGTTGTTGCGTATTTATAAGATAACATAAACTGTTGATTGGATAACGACCCAGAGGGATGAAACGTGATAGGTGAAATGAAGCATGGACTGCTGGTCTGATATGCGGGTGCGCATGACGAGGGGGAAGGGAGAGTTATCTAGGAAAGTGAATTCAGATTACAGAGTGAAGACCTGGGTCGGATCCTGTTTTGTAACCGCACCTGCAGGAGACAAGCCCCAGCCGCCTGTCGTACGGGGTCAGTGGTACTAGAGGGTAAATAGAATAGAATAGAATTTCTGCACAAGAAAAGGACATTTCATTGAAGGATATGGATGAGCGAGCAAAATGCGCCACGTTAAAGACGTCCATAAATTCTCTCATCAGTTTCCTTTATCAGATTTCACGAGCTAGGTCACGTACTGTAGGCCCACGCCATGTCAGTCACGCCGCTCCCGACCCCACCTCCGATCTTCTTGACTCTGTCCTGATACCGGACACAGGGGAATGGAAGAGGGGAGAGTGTGGTAAGTGCAGCCCAAATCAGCCGTCAATTTAAACGAATTCACACGGAGGTCGCTGTCCCTGCGCCCACCCTGATGGACGTCGACGTTTGCGACGGTCGAATTATGTAGTAGTAGTAGTAGTAGTAGTAGTAGTAGTAGTAG